GAGGACTACTCAATTAGAAGTGGAGTTTTCAGTCATTATTGATTAATCTGGTTGCTCTTTTTTTCACTGATCTAGGTTGTAGTGTTTGTTTTGTATAATCTTAATTGATTTATTCATTTTTAACCACGAATGTTTTAAATTTGCATATCATTATTTTTGGTAGCTTTATTAGTTGTCGCTTTTGTGGAACGCTATTGGGAGACTACGGATTTTTCGTGTGTTTTCATTGTGGGTATATTTTTGTTTTGTTTTTTGGAGGGGAATTGGGTGTTTGTGATATGTTTTGGTGTGTTACTTAAAATGTTTTGAGGTTCAGATATTTTTATAATTATAAAAAAAGACTTATAGAGTAGCTGTATGTGCAGTTATTAGGTGTTTTTTTATTGTGTGTGTTGGGTTTGTGGATGGGAGTGTTTTTGTTTTTTTGGTTGATGTTTGTCGTTAAATAGGAAGTGAATTTTTCTAAAACACATCCCCCTTGTTTGTTAGTGCGCGTGCCTTAAATAGTGATGCTTCAAATTAATCCCCATTTTATTTGCCCCAGATTTTCTCTAATACGGTTCACAAAATCTATATATAGTCAGTTTTATCTAATTATATAAAGAAAATAATGGATTATGTAATATTACTTGGTACATCTACCTATATTGTTATCGACTATTCATTTTGTGTTCTTGATTTTGTCTGCGGAGCGCTTCCTTCTGTTTGAGCCTGTTGCGGTTTGTTTGTTGGGATAAGATTGTTCTCACCGCCGGAATTGTCATGTTATAAGGGCTGCATTAGATTCCTTGCAGGAGGGAAGGATAGTGTTCTCTCGTTCATATTTAAGTTAAAGGGTGAGGTCTATAGCTATATATACAGAAATTTGTTTTTCTTTAGATCTTGATGTATAAAAATCCTCTTCTACACTCGCTGGACTGCTATGTCTAGATTAGAAATAAAGCTTTCACTTGCCATAGTTTTAACAGGTTATGTGGTTGGTTTTTGATTTTGTCTATGAGCCTTCTGCCGAGAAAATAAGAAAAAGTTACCTATAGTTATTTTTTGGCTTTATACTCTGATTCAATAGGTATGTAAGAAATGGATGATATATTTATGCTTCTGCAATTAATGTCTTATGAAAGTTGTCATTAAGAATGTCCAATTTGATTTCTGAGTTTGGGACGCCTATGATAGAATAGGCATTTAGGGTGGTTTTTCTTTGTGGACCTATCAGAATATGGTTTTTGTGTAAATGTGTGTTAGATGTATTGGTGTGTATGTACATCGATGTTCGAATTTATGTAAAGGAATAAAAAAGTTCTTTAACGATACAAAAAGATGAGGGCTATACCTGTGTGTTTACTCGTGTTATTTAGGTAGTTTTAATAGTTTAAGGTGCTTTTAAATAAGTGTGGTGACCATTGGACTAAATTGCAAAATAAAAAATAAATGTAATATGTTTCGGTGCAGTGGTAAGTGGAGTGCCCAGTACTATCAAAGAATGGAGTTGGGTTTTGGGTTTGTTTATTGCAATCTTGCAGTGTTTATTGGTTGTTTGCTGCTAGAACGCCAGGTTGATGTATATTTTTTGGTGTAATGTATTATATTATCGAAGACTTAGGTTGGTGTTTATTAACGGTCAGTTAGGTGTATTGTGTGTTGGTTTTCCGTATGTTGTTTGTTTTGTGTTAAATTAAATCCCGATCTACAGAGTTTTTTTGGCTGTGCGATTCACTTTTTTAAATGAATCTGCCCACCGCACTCAAGCGACTTCTTTAAGTCCAAGCGTTCATTGTGTCACTCTTTCCCCTCTTTTAAATTTGCCATAAATAACTAACTTTGCTAAAGTTGGGATTTGGGTGGGAGATTTGACATGTGTTATTGAGTGTACTTGGTTTTTATATGTTGTATTTTGGATGTCTTCCTCTGTTGCGTAACGATGTCCTGGTAAAAAGGTGGTTTTTGGTGTGTCCTGTTCCGTTTGTGGGTGGGTGAGTGGGTCTAGGCTGAGTATGTGTTAAGTGTTTGTGGGGCCGTCTGTTCTTATGTGGTGGGGGGGGAGCTCAGTGTGTTTTTTTGTGAGTGGCAGTGTTTTTAAAGGGTTTTAGGACTGAGGTGTTGAGTGCGCATCGACTGAGCTTTTTTGTAGTCGGTCTTTGTGTTTTACATTGTTTTCTCTTGTTGATTTTTGTTGCTGGTCTGCTCTCTCTTTCGGGGTTTTGGCGGCCCTTTTGTTCCCTTTTGCCGCTTATAGGTGTGCGGTAGCTTCTTGGTGCGTGACTTGTGTGGTGTGTCCGGTGTCCAGGTGTCGTTCGCTTGTTGTGAGTCCTGTTGCTGTGGTGGCCGTATGGGCGGATTGTAGGACTTTCAGGTTCATGACGTATTGGCGAGAACTTGGTTGTTTTTGGTGCCAGTATGAGAGTAAACGAGGAGTCTTAAAGGAGGATGAAGAGCCACAGAGGGTTTTTATTTTAATCATTATTACTAGTGGACAATTTTGCTTAAACTTAAAGTTGGTAGATTTTTATAGAAGGTATGTAGGTGTGTGGGGCGAGGCTAGTGATGGATAGAGTTCTTCTTCAAATATCTCCAATGCTTCAATAATCGGTTTTTGCTGATGGTTCTGGTACCAAGTATCTTATGGAAGACATACATAAAAGAAGCTTGTAAATGGGACTTTCTTGAGGGTTCTTTATGTTTTGGTTGAGCATATGGGGAGCAATGTGAGCAAAGCATGCGAAGTTGAAATGAGTGAGGTTTTATGTTTTTGTTGTTATTTTTGATTGAGTAGGATGGATATGGGTGCTTAGTAATTTTTAATCTAATTTAATATGGAGAAAATACTCCAATTGGGGTTCTAGAAAGGTGCGTACTTTTTCAATTTGTGAAATAACAATACGAAGGAACTTGTGAGTTTTGATTGGGTGCAATTATAGAAGTGCGGACTTTATCTTTAATACCCATTTGTAATAGTTGTGGTGTATGTGTTTAGAGGTATGCATCACTTTAGCAAGGAAGTTTTGGATGTAAGTGTCTGTTTTCAATAATGTTGGCTGTTTTTTGAATTATGGGATAGTGCCCTGGACTGATGGAGACGGCCTTTTGTGCTAGTTGTTCGTCTGAAATAATTGGTAAATTGCGCCAAAAATGCACTAAAGGCTTAATCTGCCTAAATCTAACGTACATGAGTGTGTCAATTAACATGTTATGATATTTAGTCGTTTGAGTGTTTGATGGTGTTTGGTGGTTTTCGGGAATTGGTCGAGTACAAAATGTGTTCTACCAAGTACTAAATGGTAGACTGACATCTTAAACACTTAAACTGCTGTTGAGTTTTGGCTTGCAATCTTACTTTACAGAAAGTTGTTACCCTTATTATACGGCGATATTATGTGTTAGGAGTTGTGTTGTGGTCTATCAGTTATTTGTGTTCAGATTTATTAATGTTGAGTGGTTTTTTTCTAGTATTTTTTTGATGGTTTTTCGTGTTTAGATGTATTTTATGCTTGTTGTCTTTATCGATGTTAGTGATTTTTTAATTGGCGGGATAAAAAGTGGCTACTGTCGTGGTATAGGTGTTTTTATATTGATTGTGGTCCGAATATGATCGTATCAGTTTTGGTGATGAGTCGATCCGGTAGTATGTTACCATAAAACCACTGTGTCTAAAGGTCTTGAGTATTTTAGCCTGTGCAAATATCTGCGGAGGTCGCCGCGAACAGAAGAGCGCCGTTTAGCGTCTAAGTTGGAGGACAGTCAAAAATTCTCCCTTATGACGGGAGTGTTGAACGCTGAAGTTGACGTGGTGTTGGGGTGGAGATGTTTGAACAGACTTTTGTTTTTGTTCAGGTTTCGGTGTAGGTTGTACTGGTCGAAGTGATCAAAAGTATTTCTAGTTTTGAAGAGGAATCGAGAGGAGACGAGAACCTTGGTGATCCGTGTGATAAGTTTGGGTAGAGAATGTTTGTATCCGCCTTGAGGAAATGTAGTAGCTGGGGGGTGGGGGGGAGTTGTGGATAGGCGTGCGTTGGAGGGTGGGTTTGGGGTTGTGGGTGTGTTGTGGCTGTGCTGGTGTTGGTCTGTCCTCGCTGATCCGAACCGGTTCACATGTGCCGGTGGTCCTGTGCGGCTTCCGAGCGAGAAGCGGTGTCGCAGTTGTGAGAATGTATTGACAGTACCGCCGTTTTGGTTCCTTGGCTAAGGATTGTGTATTATGAGTGGGTGCGTGTTTGATGGAGATCTCGGCACTGGTTTCTCTTTCCTGGTGTGATGATTGTTCAGGTGCTCTGAGAGGCCGAAGAAAAAAACCCCACCAACGCTTAATTCATAAGATACAGGAACCGAACCGAGAAAGCATCCCGAGCAGAAAATGCCAGACATAGATTAAATGACCAGTAACATGAACTTAGGAAGAAATGCCAAACAAAGCTTAAATTGTATTTTATAGTTCTTCTAGACTTGCACGTGTTCAAAAATAATCTTAAGCCTAGTTTCAATCCACACCGTCAACATTATTTCCTGAAGGAAAATGATTCCCAAAGTGGATTTTCTTTTTCTGCTCAAAAACTAAAAATTCTGGAACATTCGCATCACCTGATGTTGTCTCCCTTCCAAATTCCGTAAGGGGTAGCGGCAGTCGATGACAATGAACTTGCCTCGGACTAGATGATAAACCTGGTTTGGAAGACAGCACTGCCACCATCTTGAGGGATGAACGCAGAACAGCATTTAATTAAAGCAAAGTTGAAAAAGGGCGATTTGTTATTCCTACAACAGAAAATGTATTGTTTCGCCCACAATTTGACACACAAAGAAAAAACAAACAAGTAGTGCCTCTACTCCCCCAAACCCGTCTCTGAAGGTAAATGTACTTTGAAGGTCGATTGATGTTTGCCATCCACCCTGTGGGAGTAACAAAAGGCAAAGAGGGGAGGAAAAAAAAGGAAATCGATCCAGAAGAGCCAATTCAACACAATTAAGTGATCCAGTTGTAGAAAACACAAGCCGCCCTCCTTTACCTTGGTGAAAATCCTCCTATTAGCTCGTTAGAGCGTCCTCGTCCGTCCCAGCAAGGCTTCTCAATGTCCGTCTGGCAGCAGGACTTGGACCTCCTGGAGCAGAGAGAAAAGCCCTGGAAGAAAAAGAAGAAGAACTTAAGGACGCAGTCAAGGAAGAAAATAAGGTAATTTGAGATTGGTCTGTAAAAGCAAACAGGGACAATAGACTTGCAATCCTTTCAGAAAAGCCATTACTTCAACTTCCACTAAGGAGGCAACAGATGGTCATTTGTGCTCAGCAAATTTCAGCCACACCAACCGTCCTGTGCTTTCCCGTCTTTAAGCTTCAACTTCCACCCTTTGGTTAAAAGACTTTTCAAAGCTTTGTGGCAAGTGATTTGACCGGATCAAAATAAACTAGATATGGGGCGTCCAGTCACTGATGCTTGATAATTGTTGGTGTGTGTGTGTATGTGGTGTGTGTGTGTATATATGTGTTGTGTGTTGTGGTGTGTGTGTGTGTGTGTTGTTTGTGTGTGTGTGTGTGTGTGGTGTGTGTGTGTGTGTGTGTGGAGTATCTCATCTTTGAATACAGTGAGAAGCATGTAGTAGATTAAATCTGGTCTTTATGGAAAGACTACCAGTATATTTATCAAAGTGTGTTCCCACAGTCCTGTTGCCATCATGTCAACACTGGTCTCATTCTTTAAACTGAAACCACATTAACTTTGACACAGTTATGGATGAACCAGGCAGGGAGGACTCACCATTCTCGGGGATTCAGGGTTTTGTTCCAGGGTGGTGACTTGTGTTCCTGCCAGACTGCGTCGCCTTTTCACCCTCACTGGCGTGTTTTCGTCTCTGGGGCAGTCGGGACGTTTGACAGAGGGACGGGACACCGGACTGGGCATGGAAGGGGAGCGAAACAGGCTCCGCGGTCGACAGCGAATCACAGGCTGAAGGAGACAAAAAGGATTCAACTCAATACTGCATCTACATTTGAGCTTAAGACCACATGCCTAATAAACACAGTATTAACAACACTAATAATAAAAGATAAACATTTCAACTTCTAGATTCAGACTTACAGAATCTTCTCCGATGCTGTCGGTCACCAGCGGGGCAGTGAGCAAGCTGGCCATTCCCATTGGCATCCCAGAGTCATCCTGTAGGTAACAAGGGGAGGTTGTCAGACAAATAGTACAGCTAAAAACAGGGAAATCGTGGTGTTTACTGGCATCTGAAATTAAATCCAGTCACAAATACATCATTTCTTTGGATGTCATGTAAGAGACGGGGCCTTACCTCCATGTTGTCATCCAGAACTTCCAGGAAGCCGTCGTCTTCGTCGTCCAGAGAAGTAGTGAGAGAGGAACGTCTCAGGAACATGGGGCTGTCGCAAAAGTCAAGCTGCTGGATTGGGGGAGGGGAAGAAAGCTGGAAACGGGGAAAAGATGAGGAGCGTTAGCGTCTCTACAACCGGGGCAACACAATGATGATATTGATTCTTCACGTGTTCACATACCATGAGGGCTGGTGCTGAGCTGGGACGGCGGGCAAACGCGTCCTTTGACTGGCCGCTGTTGAAGGAGCGCACGCGGCACCGTGATGCCGGCTTGGTTGGTTTCTTAAATTCAAAGCCCTCCTGAAAAAAAATAAAGATATAATAAACAGTGAATCAATGCTCAACACCTTTAAAGAAGCATTTATCAGCAGCTAATTTTCTCAGTTTTATGGATAATACTCTAAATCTAATCCTTTCCCCAACTATACTGACTCAGTGGCCACTAATCTGTTACTGAGCTGCACACAGTATTCCTGAAGGCCTTCATCGTCTGTACTAAACAAACCTACAGAAGGAAAAACCATAATCTGTCCTGTGTTGGGGTTAGTCTTCGATACTGAAACCAATATTATTCAAATAACTGAGTGACATAATAAAAATCCAAAGTTTTAAGCCAAATTATGCTATGCTTTCACCATGGCAACAAAGCTTTCTGAGCAATAGTGAAGTTCTACAGTAGCTACAGTATCTAACCAGCTACTGAACAATGTAGATTCTCTTGCAGGTTTGCGTTCTAAGCAAAAGCCCAAAACGGTGTCACTGACCTCCGGCATGTTTTCCTTGTTGCCGCGCTGACAGGATAGGGAGGGTTGTTGGCCGAATATTCCATAGCGGTGAGAATCCGCTTCCTGTCCCTTTAGAGAAGGACTGACACTCTGCAGCTGGAGCTGAGGGAGGAGAAGAGGGATGCAGTGATGAGAGACTCAGCAACTGTAAACAAGCTGTCCTGTGGTAGGTTTACACTGGAGGACGATTTGAACTCATTAAATATTAAGAACCTCCTCGAGGACAAAATCTTGTGCCCAGCTGAAAGTTTTTTTCCAGCTGAGGCTTTTTCAAGCCAGTGTCTTTTTAAAGTCAGGCATTTTGCTGCCCCCACATTCTCCTGTCCTTTGTGTGTTTAACGATCCATTTACTTCATTTTAAACTCTTCTGGAGGCATATTTTGTGCTTTATGGATGTCTGACAGCCAATTTAAGACTAGAAATGGCTGAATTCTTACATCATCTGTCAGCCCTGAACATGAGTCAAATATTGGACGAAATAAAATAAGACATGCAGGAAGGTAAACAAAAACAAACATGACAAATCTGCTTACTGGCAATGAGTTGATTCTTCGAATTGGCATCTTTCTATAATTAATAGAAGGGAGAAGAAGGAATTGTAGTCAAATCAAAAAAACAAAACCAAAACAGACAGACCGGTCGCTTTAATCGGAGGAGTTATGACTCCCTGGAGAGCAATATTGTTCAAATAAGGAGAGGCAATAACAACCAAACACTAGTTAATCATTGTAGGTTATTGACTAGAAATCAACTTACTCGTTGATAACTCTGCTCGACTGTTGAATGGCCCTTTCAAATCTGTAACAGAAAACATGATAATTCAAAAATTAAGGGGTTTGAAATACAACAGATTCAAACAAAGCAGCTTTGTACAAGAAAGAAAGAATAAAACAGGCCTGCAACTAACAATTTAGTCTAAAAAAAAAAAGCAGTGAAAATGTAAATTTCTTTGAGCCCAATTTCACGTTTTCAAAATCGCTTGTTTTGTAATCCTCTCATTTGTAAAGTCAGTTAACAATTAATCCATTTTAAACCAATTATGTCAGCCCTAACTAAGAGTAACATATCTGTATAATAAAACCTGTGAGGGAAAGAGACTGGAATGCCTTAAGTGCCAGTCAAAAAACACCTTGTGCTCATAAACTGCAAAAAAAAAAAAGACAAAGAACCTGGAGCTCTATTGAGAAAGCAAGGGGAACGGTTGGTCTAGAGGAAGTCGGGTGAATGCATAGAGGCAAGAGGTGGTCTTTGCATTGGAGTAATGCCCACCTGTATGCTAAATGAGTGGAGAGCTCAGTGTGCTGCTCAGGAGAGGGGGGGGGGGGCAGGAGAAGGGATGCAGGGATCAGTTAATCTACCATATGCCTGCTGGAGCCAGCGGCGCCAACCCCTTTTCTGCAAGACCCTTTTGTTTGTCGGGGAGAGAGAGCGTGTCCCATTCAATGAGACCAGAACAAGGAGGGGGCAGTTGTTCTCTGGGGGTGCCCTCATTTCAATAGCCCTGGCGCAGAAAAAACTCCAGCCCCCCCTTTTTTTTTTACAATTGAAATAATAGTGCATAGGAAGAGTGTGCCAAAACCCAGAGGGGGTGGGCTATCATCAAACCCAAGCGTGGGGCTCGTCCTCCCCCAGCCTGAAAAACTCCTAGCAACCGAGCAGCTGTAAAAAGGAGGTGAATGAGGTCTTGAGGACCAAATGCTGCTGTAAAGGAACTCGCACATCAGATGGCGGCAGATGTCTGCAGAGACTCGCCCACCTCAGAATTAAGAAAGGGGGCCACCCAAGATTAGCATTATGCTGACAAACCCAGGCAAGATAACCAGTCCCTGTGCTGATAGGAACTAGTCTTAACATTTTATCTTGCCTGTGTGCATCTTCTTCCCAAGAGTGACTGCGGTCTTCTTCTCAGTGGAAAAGTTAACAGTAACTTTTACACTTGGTAACTTAAAGAAAGTTGAGCTCTTCTTCTTCTTCTCTTGAGCTAATCTTCTTAGCAGAAAGAGTGAAGCCTTCATCTTAAAGCCAACGGCAGAAACAATAATCCTACAGATGAGAAATAGTGCTTGGCTCAGCCGAGCCCGAGCACAGGGTGGAGGTGGAGGTTGTGTGTGTGTG